AGGAAAACAAAAAGTGGTTAGCTCAAAACCTGTAAAATGTCTTTTGTCGTTTGCTAGTGTTAACAAAATAGGGATTGTAGCATAAAACATGATTAAATAAAAAATAATAATAATAATAAGTCCCCATCTTTCCAAAAAAAGGCACATGTAGTATCGTTTTCCCCGTTCTATCATGTACATAAAAATACATATGGTGATTTTAGGAGTTTTTAACCAATAGAAAAAAAAATTTAGATGATGAAAAAGTTGTTACTTTACATGATATACTTATGCCCCTGTAAACGAAATTTCCGGGGTTTTGCCCCTGAAGACGAAGTTTCTGGGGGTATATAGTATTTTACCTGTCCGCTTGTCTGTTTGTATATTTTTCTGCAAAACTTGAACCTTGCCCATGCCCATGACTGGGTAAGACTACGGCTTTCATATTTCACAAGTGTATTTTTGTGACAAGACCTTTTTGTGTACAATCAATTTTGACCTTTTAATATTGACCTTGGAGTTTGACACACTTTTACACAAGGATAATAATTATGGAGATATTAACTAACAGTACTCAATATCAAAGTCCATAAAACAATACAAAATATAAAGGAGCAGAGCAAACACGAACCTCCGAAACATCAGAGATGGAATTAGTTGCCATATAGGAATGAGCATCCCCTGCTGACCGGTCACATCTGCCATGTTCTCCTTGTCACGACTGGGAAATAACAGGAAAATCCTCCGCAAACTCTACGCACAAATAACGGACCAACAAAAAGCACGAAAAACATTAGTCAGCATTTGTTTCAATTTGATAAATTGCATTTGCTGACAATGTCATTGTGTCAACCATAGAATTAACGAAATGTTAACGTTGACTTCAAATGAGACTGCCGATATTCTTGTTATTTATTTCATTTACTTGCTTGTCAATAATATACTTCGTTTTAGAAATTGTTCATATGTAGAGCATGCTCTTGCGTATAGAATCAACCGAGATATATACACTCCGTTTGCAGGTGATGAAGGTAAATTGCTGCATAACCAAGGAAATTTGACGATAGAAAAGTTTGTCATCATATTTATCCTTAAGCCTAGTTGTTAGATTACCATTAACGTCTTTTTTTCAAGTAAAATATCCATGGGTGAGACAGATGTGTCAGACTCTGTGGTATCTTTCATCTCAAGCTAGATCACAAGGATATATCGTATCGACGTAGGAATGAAAATTATCATTTTTAATTGACAATACGTCGTCGATATATACGAGGGTTGTTCGAAAAGTTCGTGGACGGGTTCGGTACTGACCGCTGTATTTGTATGTTTGAAGTGAAACTTTGTATACTTTTATTCTACCATGTTTCTAGAAAAAAAAACACTTTTCAGTTTTTTTGTCCATTAAATCAAAATATCATAGCCGTTCTAATTTCTTAAGCAGGGGGTCGCGGAGCATCCTCGTTTTCTGCGTATTTGAATATTTTAAGTCGATTTTGTCATTACAGATTTTTTTTTTAATTTTGCGCTCGAAAATCTATGATATTTAATATAAGATCAAAATAATAGGCAATCGTCATATTTGAGAAGTTTCAGTTATTTTGAGCAAGTGGTTGTCAAATTATCGATTTATAATGAAGGGGAATGGTCTCAATTCACGGTTAAAAACGGCGTCAGAAGTGGACGTCACAGAACAGTGCACTGTGATAAAATTTTATGTGGTAACATATAAAACTACTTTTGAGACAAAACAATAGCTAGAAGAAGTGAGGATAGATAAAAAAATATCATGATCAATGGTGTGCAAGTGGTATAAACGATTTAAAGACTAAGCTTGACGATGTGATACTTGGGATGACGAAAAGTCAGAAAGACCTACAACTATTGATTCTGAATTGACGGCGTCAATGTTATATCTTGACAACTTTAGATAGAAGATTAGCAGTAAGGGATAAAGAGGTAAAATTGAAATACGTCTTTGGCACATGAAATAATCAAAAAATCTCTTGGATTTGAAAAGGTTTGAACTCGTTTGGTGCCGAAATTACTTTGATGAAAAAAAAATCGGCGGATCATCGCATCGAAAGAGTTTCTAAGAAGATGCAAGATTATTCATAAAACATAGTGACGTAACGACGTCAAAAAATACGCCACAGTTGCTCCGCGGGCATTGACAATGTATCAGAAAAATTGATTTAACTTTAATTAAAGTAAGTAAAACTTACTGAAATTTTGCATATTATCTCAAAATATATCATCATTTAATGTAATATACAAAATTTTTCGAATTGCAACATATCTTTGGAGAAAATTACATCGTCCACGAACTTTTCGAACAACCCTCGTATATATCGAAATGTTGAGTTGAAGGCCACAGCAAGTAATTTCTTCTTTTCACTTCGCACAAATTCTGTTTCAAGTGAATATAAAAATAGATTTACTTATAACGGAGCGCAATTGGTACCCATGGGAATTCCAATTTATTGTCGGAATATCTGGTCTTCCAAAAAAAAAAAAAAACAGATATTGTCGATCAGTAACTCAAGCATCTCTTTCACGTCAACTTCAGAGTACTTGTGTGTGCAATGTGTTTTAACAAAATAATTTTGCAAATGACCAATGACCATTGTAAATTTACAAAAATTTATTAAAAAAGCAGCTGTCATTGAAATAAAAAAAATCCTGGTTCACACCACTTTTTGAATATATTGTTGCGCAGTACACTAAGAGTTTTTCCTTCTCTACTGTCAATACTTTAGTGCGGAGTACAAAAGAGATTTGAATGAACATTTACTGGAACCCGCAATGTGTCTTTGTTTGGAATCCAATATATATCGGGTAATTCAAATTTATTTTTGCTCTGTGTAATATTAAAAATATTTAAAACTGACCAAAAATTTTGAAGAATTTCTTCCTTAGAAAGGGAAGTATGAGTATAAGTAGGATTACCACTTGTAGAATTAAATCTTGAAAGTTCTTCTAAAATACAATTAATGAGACTTACAAACGAAGACAACCTGCTTTGTCGACAAGGACCAGTACGTACTGATCATATAATCTATCTATTTTTTTTTTCACTTCTGGATTATTGAACACAGAATGAATGAGGGTTTTCATATTACCCCTCAATCCTTGAATACGCGGCGTTAACATGGATCTGATACATTTAATCCATTGTGGAAAAAATCAACAATTCCACACTTTTACTTTAACATTAACTTTTGGACGGTATGTGCTAGAAATTTATTTTGAAGTAAGGGCATGACAACTAAGAGTTCATTAATTTGCAAAGGTTACCAGTGTCTATAAAATCCCAGAAGAAAGTGGATGTAACAGCAACCATTGGTCACGTATCTGTCGGCTAAAAAGTGTTGAAAAGAGATTTTTAAGTTTTTATTTTAATTTATAGATATCTCTGAAGGTTGAAATATTTTTCACTCAGGTGTAAATTTTTGCCAGTTTTGGAGAAATTTGTAATATCATCATAAGAACTTCTTGATGTGTATTGTATTTCCTGTATATAAAGTAAAAAGTATAGTAATATATAAGGTAGTTAAAAAGTATGTATTTTAAAGCAGAATAAATGCATACAATGGAATTGTATTTATATAGTTAAACAATGTTGCTATCGATGTTCGGAGGTCCGTGTTTGCTCTGCTCCTATTTTGTATTGTTTTATGGACTTTGATATTGAATACTGTTCGGTATCCCCATATCCCTTTTTCTTGCTTCTGTGCTATTTTTTTTTCTTGCAAGAATTTTCAAAGATTATAGTAATTAGAAACGTATCATGCCATTTTCGCAAAAAAACTTCGAATGAAAAAAAAAACAAAATATATAATCATAAATTATGTTCTCGATGAATAAATATTCATTGGGATTCTGCAAGCAAAAAATATACCCATACCAGATACATGCATTGGTTGTGATGCTACGTTTAAGATATGCAATTGAATATAAGTTGGAAAGGATAAGATTGCATAAAAAAATCCCCCCTACTTGGATTTGAAAGTATGAAAAATCAGGAGACAAATACAAAGTTTTATTGTATAAAATATAGGGGGGTCAAATTCCTATGAGGGTCATTTTTCAACGTGTGTGAAGTCGTAGAATTAATGGTTTGGAATGTTTTTCTACAGTCGAAAAATGACCCTACTTGTCGTAGAATATTGACCGGGGGGTCATTTTTCTACGTAGAAAAATGACCCCCCGGTCAATATTCTACGGGGGTCACTTTTCGTCGTTACACCGGCCATTATGTACTGGAGAATCTGACGTTCACGGATACGCTTCAATTCCTTTCTAATCTGATCATTATGTTTAGCACACTCTGAAAATTTAGAATGAGATTAATTATGTTAATGAGAAATTATCAATGAGAAAGAGGTCTCGCACTTGTAAATTGTATAAGATTTTAAATATAATAAATCAATCATCAATGTAAGGAATTATAAATCAAAATAATCTTTACACTTGTAAATTAATTGAGATATTAAATGAATTAATTATTAAAAACAAGATTGATTTAGATTCTTCTGAGCTTACTTGCTCGCATGGCTAGTCGACAAGGCAGAAGAAGGAAGTGAAGATTTGCAAACATCCGGTGTCTGAAGTCCTGAATCACGTGATATCGTTCATACTGTCTAATAAGGGCCGATTCCTCACGAACTTTTTCATACTTTGTGCTGGTTTTGAGATGTAAATTGAATTAGTTCATTCGTTGAAAATTTGAAAAATTTCGACTTAACAAGTCTAGTAAGTCAATGTGTAAATATATAATCAATATGAAAGTTCGGTGTTGGAAATAGAAAACTACATAGGAGGGATACGGATAAATATGTTTTAAAACCTTAAACCTTGCTGTATTAAAAATTGTCCGCAATGGAAGATAAATATTAGGTTTTTAACCTTTATGAAAAGTATTATATTAATTAAATAGTACCCAGTGCAGTGTGAATTGTTCATTATTTCTGAGTTATGCTTATGTTTTAAAACTTATGAATATTGATGACTCATCAGAATACTCACGTAAAAAGGGCGATAATCAAGTTGACGATGAGGAGATTCCCCACCATCATATGTATTGCTGCTACAGCTTTCACACTCCAATCCACTTCTGACAATTATAAAAGATCGTAAAATATTATAGGTCAGATAAAGTGTATAACACATTGACTCTTTATCACACATTTAACCCAGTATACTTGAGCCGATTATAATGATTAATTGAATATTGTTTGACGTCCAATTTGAGGTTTTTTTCTCTCGTATATAGACGTCAGCGTATGCCGATGAAAGGCCTCAAACTTAGATCTATACTCAACACTCGGGGTCATGGAGCAGTGAAGGTTCTTCATCGTGGCAATGCCTACCGTGACACGGACCTACGTTTTAAGGTCATATCCGAAAGACCCGTCACTTTCATTTCTTATGCCGAGTGCTTTGCGAAGGAACAGTCTCTCCTTATATGTTTAGTTCTTAGATTTGACGCGGCGCCGCGAATAAGAATCGAATCCGGACCTTCCGATCACGAAGCTAACGGGCTACCACTAGGCTACCCTGCCCGGTACCTAATATTTTGAAAATAAATCACAAAAACATGGAAATAGTTGCATTCAGCTATCGAATTTGGTAAATCTTTTATTTTTAGATTATACGCGAATACATTTACACTTTCTTTATCGCCTATAATTAAGAACAATGTGCTTTCTCGAATTGGGTTTACGTCGACTGGACGTCGCTTTAAATGTCTGGAGTACTATATGTTAATATTAAGGTATTCAAAGAATAATGAAGGGATTTTGAACAATTTGAATGATTTTAAACTAGTTATAATGTATTGCTAGATACATATAAATGTGAAATGAACAAAACTCAAAAGACTGATAACATGTAAGAAGCCAGTTATTTTGCTCCTTAAAAGTTATCTGCCCTTGATAAAAAAAAAAAATAATTGTCAAAAAATATGAGGTTTATGTAAATTTTTAATTCACAGTTTAATACAAGAGAGTTTATGCATATTTTCACCAAGAGATTTGTTTCAACTTCAGAATTACTATTAAATAGAAGAAAATTGCAAATAATGTATTTCCAAATTGTTATAAACATGCGCTGTCCATAGACTTCAATGTTAAATTCAAGGAGCAGTTAATTGGACAATTATTAAAATTTTACAAATTCCTCTGGTAGAGCATTTTCACTTAAAATTGCTATCATAAAAAAAATTTCATCCGGTGGTGCGGAGAAACAATCAACGTATGTGACGTAACTATCTTCCGACGTCAATCCTTTACGCCGGTGCCCTGCATTCAAAACCAATCAATTCAGTATTTGTCCTAGCATACTATTTTACCGATATCGTTTATTGCTTATACCCATATATTTATTATAACTAGTCCTCGCAAATCACTAAACTGAGAAAGGTTAGTCCTTGAGCACTTTTGGATTGATAATGTGTTTCCTCAAACCCACCTTTGAGATTAGGGTAAGTCTTTGCTCTCTATTTGGCTGTTTAAAGTTAGTCCAATAGTAAACCACCCATCCAAAATTACAGTTTTTACAATTTTTTTACGACTGATCAGGGTTAGTCTAGTGCCTATTAAAAAGATGAGGGTAAGTCTTAATTATTTTGTATTTATATTTAAAACAGTCTGACCTTGGCATGGCGCGTCATTACATTTTTTTGCGCAGTAGTATTAAGCCGTCATAAACCTTGATTGATTGAGTCCCATTGCACTTTGGATATAATATACTATAAAGGAAGATCAGCTTGAATTACCATCGTTGCTTGTCTTTATGCCAAAGTCATCATCAAATACTTCTCCGTAGTACTGGTAGTAGGGGTAGTATATGATCCTCCAGATCCGCCACTCGTACCACTTCCCCGGGAAAAGTCCAGGCTGATACTGCTGATGGACGATAGCCTCAAAGAAAACCCCTACTCCCAGCACAAAGAATGCTATCGTAATCAAAAACTGCACCAGATGTAGAAGCTGAAAATATAGGTACACATAGGTGTATATTGATCATTTGGCTGTCGGCCACTTTACTTATGCCTTTTAGGCATTCAGAACTACACTTTCAAAGTAAAAATTTAATTTTCTGGGCAACAAACACTTTTCTTGTCTTAGAAGTCCCCGACCAGGTTTTTTATATTCATTGTGTTTCATCCTCATTTTGTTGGAAGAACATTTTATTTTAAATATATATATATTTATCAATTAACTAGTTATGCATGTGCTGAATAATACTTTTTGTCCAAGAAGTAATAACAGAACAAAAGTTTACATGGAGATATGTTCAATCCCAGTTTGTTTCTCCTTATCTTCTTCAATCTCCGTAAAAACGGGAGAAAACTCTTTAACAATGATAATGATGCAAATACAGATATTGTTTTATACATTAAGAACCATAAAACAATATTACAAACCATGTGTTTCAGGAAAACGAATGTAATTCCTGTCAGCTGATGAACAACAAAAACACGCATGTGCCGAAGACACGAGAAGAGAAGTAGAAGAGCACAAAAGCGAGTAGCCATTTTGAAAGTCGTCGATGGTTTCAGCCTTGCCAAAAAGGTAGCAACAGCAAGAAAGACACACAGGAGTCCCAGGACCTTCCACATATCATTTAATCTAGAGAGAAATTTATATCTGGCTTTTCTCTTTGTGTCCACAGATGTACAGCACCATTTTATCCTTATTAGCATCAGATCCTGAAATAGGAAAGTTATTATTCATTCCGTTATGTCGTACAAAAAAGATTTGCGAGTGTTCCCTGGCAAATTGCCAGGATGAATAAAATTCAAAGACAATTGACACGGGATATCCCTAGAAAACAATAGAAATTTTGTTTCCGAAAGTCATCTGCGAATCTGGTGTTGAAAATTAGAGCCTCATAGTACATCTTTCTTTCCTTTCTTTTAGTGTGTCATTTGCTTAACTTGACGCATGTGTCATAACTCACTCTTTGGCCCTTGATTTTATTTAACGGTTAAAATTTCAGTAAAAATACGTTTCGTTGCGGACGTTAATGTTATTTCCGCGTCAATAAAAGTTAAATTTCGGCAATATTTAAAATCAAAGCTTTGGAGGATATTAACACCCTCCCCCCTCACCTAAAAAAATCATGATAATAAAATTAAACCTTTACTGCAAAATATTTTCTATATTACCTTTCCGGAATTACTTTTTAAAACAGAGAAAACTGTTTCTCTCAAATTTATTTTTGCTATGCCGAAAATGAAGTATATGGAGATAACGAACAGTATTCAATCTCAAAGTCCATAAAATAATGCAAAAACGAGCAAAGCAAACACGGACCTCCGAAACATCAGAGGTAGGATCCGGTGCCATGGATGAGTGAGCATGTAATCGTCTAAAAAGCTGACTTGTAACTAGATTCAATGAAATAGGTTTCCGTGGTGATTTGCAGATAAGCTTTGAACCGTTACAGTTCATTTTGAAATCTGCATTCTGTCCGTAAATATTTAAAACAAAATCATAACGGAAATTATTCGACTTTTACGACACACATTGATTTGGCATGAAAGAAGATCCATGCATTTTTTTCAGCGAGAAGTGGTTTATTATTTTTTTTTCTTTAACGTTCCCTGTAATCTTCTCGAAACGCTAATAATTTTGTCTTGTAAGTAAATGAATGAAGCGACATCAAAATCTGCGGTGGAATACGTTTTTAAACATTGTATTATGCTTAAATCAAAACGTAAACTGCATATAACTTACATACACATGCTAGACATTTAAAAAAAAACAACATGTGTCTATTTAAAAGAGCTTAGTTCACTTAATGCATAAAACGGCCTTGTCCTTATATCAATTAATAAAGTGTCTTACCATTTCATATATCAAAATAAAGTAGAGAGTTATAACTTTCATTTCCTATTATTATTTTTCTTTTTGAGAATCTAATTATTAGAAATCAGGCTTCGAAAAAATGCAAAAAAAAAAGTTTTTTGCAGAAAACAAGCGTATTTGACTATCGTCAGCAAAGAATTAAAATATGAGCATAGCCAATAAAACATGCTTTTTGATCTCCAGAAACATATCTTTCATTTTGTGATTGCGTTTTCAGGATCAGAGGTTGTGCTCTATTTGAAATAGAAAAAAAAATTTCAAATTTAGGCATTTTCAACTTGGGAGTACTGCTCTAAATATACTTGTGTATACTTTTGCAACAGTACAAGTTTCTACAAATCAGAAAAGGCGGGGCACTTGTCATAATTTCGCGCCAAACGCCATGAGTAAATATTCGCTCCTTTTCTTTGGACTGATCTATTAAATAGGTTTTTAGCTTCATTGAAGCTCATTTAAAGCATATGGGGAAAATGAAGCATTTTATGACGTCATAATACATTGACTAGAGGGATTATTACGTCATATTGAATGCATTTTCAACCTAAACTGGGCAGTTTTGATTTTCATAAATTCTATGTAGAATGACTGATATACATTGAAAATTATGATACATTTAACCAGTACAACTAGAACAAAATTTATGTTGGAAAAAGCATGTCTAAAGAGTCCGATTAAAAAAAAAACTGATTTTAGATACATGGAAACATTTTCTCAATTAACACATTGTCTAAATGTATTTTTTATCATGTGTGGAATTAGTATTAAAACAACTTTTCGATATACACATGTATTTTATAAGTTAAAAAACGGAGAGACATCGAAGGCGTGATCCTGCGCATGCCCTGTAAATCAGACACATCCGCTGTGTTCTATAAGCAATGGTTGGGCAAAATGGAAATATCTGAAGAGAGAACAGAATTGAAAATTAATTGCAAAGCAAATAGCCATTTATTAAATAGAGATACCATCACAGAGGCTATGTCATTGATGAAGTCTAGGATCGTCCAGATGTAGAGGGCGCCCTCACACACCAGTAAAAGTAATGGCGTCTTAGAATATGGCATCAATGGAGTCAACACAGCGTAACCGTACATGAGAAGGATGACACCAAAGAAAATCTAATAGATAAAATAAAATTATAACTGGTAGATAGATAACAAGTACCTCAGACAGAGTGATGATGCGACACATAGGTCCAAAATAGGTCCAAAATTACATCTTTTTGTCAAATCTATGAAATATAAAGATATATAACACATGGTATTCATACTCAAAGTTCATTCAAACAATACGACTCTAAACACTAACATAAGAACGTTAAGAGTTTCGATCTTAAAGTTTAGGTAACTGCCTAATGGATCTAATTTTGTTTTCCTTTCTTTTTCTGACTTTCTATTTTTGCATTGTTCTGAAAAAGGAACATGAATGATGTTCCGAAAATTCAACAGTTTCTTTTTTCTTGACAATAATTCTCTCTTAAAATGATTCCTTGTAGTAAGTTTTTGTATGTGAATCTTTATCCATTCAAATGGATGAGGTTAATTTCTTTTTCTGTTTTCCCTCTTTATACAACATATAATCATTAAGATTCATTATTTAAAGAAGGATATGGAAATAACGAACAGTATTCAATCTCAACGTCCATTAAACAAATATACAAAATAAGAGCAGAGCAAACACGGACCTCCGAAACATCAGAGGTGGGATCAGGTGCCATGGAGGAGTGAGCATCCCCTGCCGACCGGTCACACCCGCCGTGTGCTCGTTGTCATAATCAGGAAATAACGGAAAAAATCCGTAGTCAATTCAGTGTATAAATAATGGACTAACAATTGATATGAAAAACGTCAGTCAGCATTTCATTCAATGATAAATTGTATTTGCTGACAAGGTCATTATATCGACCATTGAATTTACGAAATGATGACTTTAAACGAGACTGTTGATATTCTTGTTTCATCAACTTGCTTGTCAATAATTTACCTCGTTTAAGAAATTGTTCATACGTAGAGCATGCTCTTGCGTATCGAATCAACTGAGATATAAATACTCCGTATGCAGGTGATGAAGGCAATGAAGACAATTTCTGATAAAGGAGTTATTGAAATGGACTTAGTAGACCTAACATTCTCTGAAAACGTATTTCGGGCTGACACAGGAATCTATTCGGATGGTTGGAGGTAATGTTTTATTAATTAAGAGGTCAATTTAGCGCTGCTTTATTCCTTATAAATAGTTTTTATCTTAGATTTACGTACGTAATGTAGAACGAAGTGGAAACAAGGTGCGCACAGGGCCTCCCGATGTTGTTTCTATAAAACAAGCATCAATTCTGTCATCAGCTACATTCTTGAAATATATGGATAGTTTCATGAAATATTGTGAAATTACTATTTTTTGTGTGGGATTAATTTTCGCTGTTTTCGACGCATGCAGAGACCCTCGAATTTAAGACCACCTCTAAATATACTCTTCAAAAAAAGAAACGCATAGTAGAATTTTAGTGGCATATTGAACATAAAGTTTATTTAGTAAAATGATGCATTGATAAATCGGAAATGTGGTAAGCAACAGGAATACTATCTAAAATGTCATAATTACTCAGCAGTTTTAGAATTAATGTCAGTTTAAGATCATTAAAGATCAATGTCTGGTATGCCCCCCGCAGACACAAATGATAACCACAAACGGCATCTAATGGAAGCAAATATGTTTAATAAAAACTGCAAAGGAATACCCTCTTACTTTGAATGTAAAACTTTGGTCAGCTGTTGCAGAGTCTGGGGATGCGATTGTCTTTGGCAAATCATGTCAATCCATTTTGTCCAATGCTGCTTTACTTGGATTAAATCTAGCGATTAAGATGACTCTGGCTGAAACATGTTGTTGTTTCTTTACACAAACAGGTGTGTCAAACGAGACATATGTGACTGTGTATTGTGAGATTGCAATACGGCTCTAGGATGTTGCAAACTTGAGTGGGTATGTGTAGGTAGAACATGGTTAGAGTACCTTTTTCCATCAAAGTCTATTGAATTCGAACCAAACCAATCTTACTTTCTTATAATACCGTTTTTCATATCATTACACTACCACCACCAACTTTTTTAACGTCCTGGGGGTAGTTACATGTATCTGTTTAACATTCATAACAAAGCATTAACACTCTTAAACTTACATATGTATAAGAGGCTTTCAGATAAACATTCTGGACTAGTAAGTTAACCATAATGTTCAGCAGTGATGCTGTAGTCATACTCCATTGATCTGAGATCTATGAAGTCGATATTTGGGGTGCTGTGAAGTCGGAATAATCCTCTTGCAATAATTCGTAATCAACTGAAAACGGTCTCGTTAGATGATCTGTGCAGTTCAGGGATAACTAGTGCTTTAGATGACGTCCTTGCATTACATTCATGCAATTTACGTAATCATCGGAAGTGATGCTGTGCTGCTGATGCCACACGTAGTCTTCCATATTTTTGCGAACATTGGGTGTTCGATGTTGATGGTTTATGTTCTATAGGTTAGATATGATCTGTGTGTAACAATAAAACCTCTTGCATTTGTAGATTGCGGTACCCCTGCTTTTAGTAGCCCATTTTCCTTTTTGTGCCACTCAACATTCAGATGCAGCATTTTTTGGAAGCGTCATTTTTCAGATAAAACCAGATTCAAAATATCGAGAACCCCCACTTTTGATAGCCCCTTTGTACCTGAAGGAATTGCATCAGAATTCAACAAATGAAAATTGAGATCAAAATTTTGGGGGAAACTTTGCAAAATCAAGTCTTTTTGTCAGTGAGACTTTTAGAATAGCTGTAAAGTTAATTACTGCATTGGAAAATCATGCATTTCACTCGAATACATCGTATCCATACAAAAACAAAAGGCATGACAAAACAATCATACATTTTTCAGGGCATTGTTCCTACTATGCGTTTCTTTTTATGAAGAGTATATATTAAATTTCATGTGCATTAAATACGAAACACTTCTCCAACCAGGAAATCATATGCCAACAAACCAGGGGCCTGTTTCACAAACGTTTCCTAAGATATGTCGTAAGACATAACTTAAGATATGCCTAAGTTATAACTTAGGAAGTTCCTAAGATTTGTCACAGCTGTTTCAATCTTATCTTAAATTTTTCCTAAGTCATTTTTTAAGTTGTGCCTTTATAAGGACTAATGAAAATACTTCCCCGCTCCATCAACAATTCTCAGTATGTCAGTCTGGGTTATATTTTTAGCTTCAAAAAGGGAGGGAAATACCCCCACTTTCAAAGAACTTGGACAGAAGTATGTTTTAACTATGCGAAGTTACTATGCTAGAACTAGGCATTCACAGACACATCCTCTCAATCCTTCTTCCCTTCGGGGAACGCATTTGTATTTTGTTTAATATTGTTCCACGTTTTATACGTTTACTTTATTTTGCTCTTTATAAGATATCGATCCTAGGTATTGTTTTTACTTTACCTTATACTTGTAAATTATTGAATGAAATTTAAAAATGATTGCTTCGTAGCGAACACATGCTTTTCTAATGATTGTCCCACGTTAGGAGAGGGCTATATTAGGCTGCGCCTGCTGCCCAATCCTATTCACAATAACATCAGTGAATAAAATGTTGTTTAAATTAAAAAATTAGTTGTTCGTGCTGTGTGAAGCTTTCTCACATATATAAGATAAGAATGCCATGCTAGAAAAAAATCCAAATTCACGACTACAGATATGAAAATACTAAAAGAAGTTAGAAAGGAAAATTATTGAAATCTCTTATACAGCTATACATTGTATTTAAAAGCAGAGATCATAAATGGTTGTAATCTCATGGTCGCAAGAACTGGAGGAGCACGGGAGGGGGTATGATAATAATTTTTCCTATGTATAGAATACTATAGAAAACAAAACTGCGTAATGTTTGTGTCTTCTCAATAATAACGCCCTAGAGGAGATTAGATGCAGCCATTCTTGGGAGAAACATCTATATATCTGGAGCTTGGTTGGGGGTCATCAAAAAGCATGTACTTATCTAAAGTAATCAAGGGTTTCCATTTATCTATAAAATATCCTTTTTTAAATTCTATTTTAATATCCATTAGAATACTAGTAATATATAAATAAATATACATGTAGATAAAAACATTATATGTTTGCATGCATGTATAATAATTGGATCAAATCATGTTCTATTTTTCATTTAAAAAGGCGTGCTCTTCATATGATGGGAATTTATTCCAGTACGTGCACATCTATTTCGCCAACTCCAGTTTTGTAAACTGACATTTTTATATACCTTGGACTTATTGACACATGTTTGCCAATTATTGAAATCTTAGTAATTACGTGCAAAGTAAAGCAGTTTTAACCTAGAGAGAACACAATCATCCATATATATTAGTAGTCCATTAGATTTTCTTTCCCCAAACACATTCTTCTCTCCATATGAAATCTTAGATATGAAACGCAATATGTAGTTTCTTCCTAAGTCATCGATTTACCTTTCCTAAAGTTACGACATAGCTTAGGAATATCCTAAGATAAGACGAGAAACGGATAAGTAATGAACTTAGGAAAAAGTTCTTTCCTAAGACAGAACTTAGTCCTAAGTAGGCTTTGTGAAACGGGCCTCAGCATTTCTTTCTAACATATCTCAAAATTTGACCCCACAAAAATATTTGATTTTACAGTACTCGCATCAGATACATTTAGTTAGAGTACCAATACTACTATCCTTATCATTTAGGGTAATGTTCAAGAACTTGATATTTTATTTATTTAAACTCAAAGTATTTAAAAATAAGTTTTTCAATGTTAAAGACAATTAATATCGCACACATAGAAACAGGGTTTTGATTACATTATAAGGCTTTATTATATTGATATTTATTTCAAATAGGTACTACCATAAACACAACTTTATATATATATTACCAAGAAATCTTTGATAAATCTTGTTCCACTTGGAATAAGACCATTAAACCATATTTTGTTCATTAGACCAACAGAGCAAGGGTGGGCAATAATATCGTACATCTTCGATTCATACACAAACGATAGAGGTTTGGCTTGGATAGTCCATACAACGTCTGGTTCGTCCAAAATTTCAAACGCTAGAGTCTCGTCAGTCTGGTAAAGGTTGTCCATCATGCTTAAAATCCGTCCCCTGAAATCTCTGTCGATTAGTAAAAAGAAAATAGTTTGGTTTTTATAATTAAAAAATGAGATTTAAATTAAACATGCCAGATAAAGCTCAAGCCCTTTCACAATTTTCTCATGTGGTTAAAACTGCGCTTTAATGTAAATAACAATGGCAAGACAATGTCTTTATTTTGAATGTTATTACGTCATAAATAGTTTAAGATTGAAAAGTGGATTCTTGGTTTGTATATAATAAAAACAAAATATACAAGACCTACATGTACAATGTACATTAACTCCCTTACTGTGCTTGTTCCTTTAGCTTTGCTGCTAATTTCTCGTCTTTTAATCTGGCAATGACGGACATCTTTTATAAAATTAATTCACTTACAAGTCCGGTATCTAAATACAACAAAATAAACTTATTTGTTCGTAAAAAAATAAATTAGCATTTCTTAATTATAAAACATATCTTGTGAAAGATAAACTTACCAAAAAAACATCATTCTGAACACTGAATCTTTTTAGAGATTCCAGACCTCTGCATTCTAGTCGAGTACAAAATACATATCGATATACAGGCATGCATTACTGAATTATCACATATATATCATAACATATTATTCTGCACATAGACAATCATTGGAATTGAATCGATTACAACAAGAAAAAAAAATGAAAATGGCAAACTTAACAGAAAACAAACATACAAAGCTGGCTCTTAAACCTCCTCCAGACCAGGGTAGCGATGTCCGTTCTATGTGTCAATACACTAACAAAAAATACTATAGTTAACTATATTTAACTATAGTTTACTATAGTGATAACTTTGACACTTTGAAAACTTTGATTTACTATAGTGATAACTTTGACACTTTGAAAAACTTTGACGAAAACTTTGATACTTTGAAAAACTTTGGCGAAAACTTTAACACTTTGAAAAACTTTGGCGAAAACTTTGACACTTTGAAAAACTTTGACGAAAACTAAATCGATTACCGGTATAATACGGGGTCTAAGAAGGTAAACAACAGGATGCAGTGTAGACCAAATATAAAAAAAAATATCAGGATAAAAAATAATACCGACAATTTAAGTTTAAAGTTATCTCCATACTTACCCCACCTTTGTCCTAAGTGAAAAAAAAACAAGAATTCACATAAAGACTTTTTGGCTTTCTTCCAATACCTAATCTGATCCGATAAATCGATAATAATAAAAAAAAAATACTGTAATTGGATAGAATCAAACAGCGGAAGTCTCTACTGAATTCTGATTTCTCAAACAGATAACTACGAGAAAAGAAACCAAACCTGGTTGTTAATTTTGTAAATAGGACAAGATTTAAAAAATCAAAGTCAATAATTTTTCAAAAACCTTATTTTCCTTTTCATAAGAGATAAATATAAAAAAATGTTTGAAATCTTCTGCAGTATTTGTTCAAATGTTTTTTAGTTTGCTCCGATTCAGGGTTTTTTGTCACAGGTCATTTAAAAATTAATAAGTTAAGCTCCCCGTACATCTATATACATTTTCCTATCTCGATTGGGATGGTGTTAAAGTATCAGACCAATATGAAGACATAATTTTCTAATCTTAAATATACATCCTGTATTCAATACTTTCAAATATAAAGTTACCCGAGCAGTATTTGATTAATTAGGATTCCATTTAGGTCAACGGGAACAAACACATTTTTTGAAAATAAAATTTTGAATACATAAATATCGAAAAAAATCCAGTGGAAAGATGTAGATAAGAACAAGAGGCCCATGGACCACAGCGCTCACCTGAGCACATCGGGCTTGAATTTACTCCCCCCCCCCCCCCCCCGTCCAGGCATTCATCATTTGAACAAACTAGAATCTACACTACTTGAGTATGATTCCATATAAATATCTTTAAGCATACCTTTGAAGTACTTGAAAAGAAGATTTTTAAAGGTTTCCCTATACATCCCTATGTAAAACTTGGGTCGATCATTTTGGCCTAATCCTAGCCCCGTGGGTCATGATTTGAACAAACTTGAATTTACACTACCTGAGGATGATTCATCCTCCTGGCCCAGTTTTTCTGGAGAAGAAGATTTTTAAAGTTTTTTCCTATATATTCCTATATAAAACTTGGGTTTGCCATTTTGGCCCCACCCTTGCCCTAGGAGTCATGATTTGAACAAACATGAATCTACACTACCTGGGGATGCTATCATATAAATATGAGCAATTCCTGGCCCAGCAGTTCTAGAGAAGAAGATTTTTAAAAATGACATTAATTTTTAATTATCTCCCCTTGGAAAAGGGCCTGGCCATTTATTTGAACAAACTTGAATCCCCGTCATCTTAGGATACTTTGTGCCAAGTTTGGCTGAAATTGGCCCAGTGGTTTTTGAGAAGAAGATGAAAATGTGAAAAGTTTACGACGACAACGACAACGACGACAACTCCGACAATGGCAACGACGACGACGACAGACAGCGGACAAATTGTGATCAGAAAAGCTCACTTGAGCCTTTGGCTCAGGTGAGCTAAAAAGAGGACATGAAAGGGGTGGACAATCCCCCGTCTGAGAAAAAATGTTTCTCATTTTTCAAAATTCACAGAAAAGTTATATTTTTCTAAAATAATGTTCTCAGTAATGTTATCTTTAACACATTTTATTATCTAATTTTACTGAACGACTTATCATTTGATAATCTCTCTTTCAAAGTTGACAGTTAAGCATATTAAGTGGAAAATGGGTCGAAAATTAGAACACATCAGCTTTTCCTTATTTATACTAAAACATGAAGATTATGTCTACATACACTGAGTATCGGGTGTTTCAGGAAATATGCAACCATTTACTTTCCTCTCCATATTGATATGCAAACAGGAACATATGAAGATTTTATATAACATTATGCGAAAAGGGCTTACGTTATCATCAATATCAAAAATCTAGAAAATAATTACCATTTCAATTACTAATGACGTCATATTTGACATTACTGAAAAAGAGAGTTCAACATTTTTTATGTTGAATTTAATAAAAAACAATCACCCGGAATTACAACACTTCTTAATCAGAGCATGTTACCAGTTCATTTTATTATGGTAATGCATAAAAATAAGGTTTATAGAATACAAATAACTTACGAATAGCAATATAAAGTAGAAGTTGTATGAATCTATTAAATTTTGTAGCTAATGGAATAGTTATAACTTGATCAAAGAAAAGGGGAAAAATAAAGAAAAAACAATTCGAAAACATGAAAACATTTTCAATGTTACTAAAGAGGCATTGTTCCAGAGACTTACATGAAATCCTTCTGTAAAATATCGTGTAAAATAATTAGTGAACAAACTAACTAATCTAGGGCATATTTTTAACTAAGTTACATTGAAAAAAATTCCTTTTTTTATTTTGTAATCCAATATCTGTTTGCTGCATTAACAATAAATTATGAAGTTAGATATATTGTTGCATGGTATCGGTCAAAACACCAGTAAAATCTAGACAATCAAAATGGATGCATGTTTTCTGAAACACCCTGTATTCAACCAAATTATGTCTGTTATGTATTCAAATTTATGTTATCTGATGCTATTATCGATTTGATACTTTAAATTATGAGCGTATATTTACAAGGAATGTTTTTTTAAATTTTGTGTGAGTTATTGGTGTGTGAATCACACCGACTTGTCACGTAGGCATATTTCATGAAGCGAGCTAGCGCTTCATGAAAAATATGCCTATGTGCAGAGTCTGTGTGATTCACACACCAATAATTCACACTAAACTGAAAAACATTCCTTAAATTTAGAATTTACCTGTTTGGAGGCAACCAAAATATACTCAATATTTGAATTTCTCGCTGTCCTATATTATTGCATTTTACTAACGTCGCTGCATTCTCATTGTGACGTCACGTTAATGCATGGATGAGACCGTACAACAAGGTCCTTAGTAGCAGCAGGCCACTTGCTGCCAAACAAATAAAGTTCCGAGTACATGTACAGGTCCAAATTTGCAGCCCTTTCTTCTGGTAAATTGTTGCTTGTCAATTTAATACAATTTATCATTTAACAGCAAATATAATTTATCATTAACCCCTTCACTTCCGTACCGGTCAAATTGACCGGTGGCGCGTTAAAACACGACTTCGCGAAAATAACATCTCCGTATTTATTTTATGGTAGCATGAAGGTATATAAACTATATATCATCTTTTTGGAAATTTTCTCTACTTTTAAAATATCTAAAAAGATTTTGTCTTGATTGCCGGTATTTAATAGATTTTACGTTGTGAAGACAAAAGTGACTTTTTGAAAATGACGTAATTTTCCAAAGCAATTGCCGATTTTCCAGACGATTGACATTTTTTTCCTGATTAACTTTTTAAAGAAAGTATAATATATTCTTAAAGCATATTTTCTCTGCTTTTAAGATATGTAAAGATTATTGTTATTACTTTAAAGTATGTTTTAAAAACAAGAATTTTCTTGCACTTATGTGTTTTTTCTCGATTTTATTCGTAATGTTTATACAAAGCTCAGTTTTACGTTTATTTCTGTATTGAAATAGGGAAAACAAAATAAAGCTGGTAAAAGTAGAGAAAATTTCCTTTCCAACAAGCCCTTACAGGCCTTCTTACGCTCAGTATTTTCTTAATTACGATAATTTGAATTTGTGACCTTCACATATTTTTTATGGAAAAATCGGTCAATATTTACATGTAACGTCAAGGTCGATATTGTTGTGTCTAACTCGAAACAACAAATTCTTTTATAAGACTTTTTTGACCATTTAGATATATTTTTTACTGAAATAAATACATAATACAAAAAAAAAAGATTTCAAAAAACAAATATATACTATTGTTCTGCCTTTTGTGTGAAGTGAAATGTTAATTTATTCATCTACATGTAATTCATCTACATGTATATTTCATGTAGTGATATACAATGTTGATAAAAATTGTAGATTCCCTAAACGCCGATCTTTACTAAAAAAAAAAAAATCAGATTTTTAATATTATTGTATCTTATTCATGTTATTATACTGTATTCTAAATTTGTATTTAGATCTATATTGTATAACACAATTAGCCAATGTGTTTGGATTAAGAAGACTTTTGTAAGTTTATAGTTTTATTAAAAAGTCACAGCAAAGGTATCAAACAAACAATGGTACATCAAAAAGTTCAATTATAAAGATCTCGGAGCCAAGATGGTGAAAGCTCACATAGTCATTATGTCACATTGGTCTCAGAGCTAAGTTCGTATAAGCTCTCATAGTCCGTCTCGGAGCTAGGATGGTAAAAAGCTACTGATACTCAGTGTACACAACTTTTATAAGTGGGGAATTACATATTTGGTCATAACAATTAGTTAATAGAAGAATCACTTCATTAACACTGATAT